AAAAAAAAACATTAAAAATTTTTTTAAAAAAATAAAATAAATTTGAATTAGTATAACTAGATGGAAGTTATCTTTCACTTTGGAAGAAAGTTTTGAGAAAACCATTCATACTACTAATGAATTGGGAGCTATCCATTCATTACTGCCTTGTAAGTTTAAGATAACTGCTTATTTGTCACCTGAAGTGCAACACTAAATAACCACATGCTGATAAAATTAGCTATAATGTGGAGAGCCTGGGTGGCTCAGTCTGTTAAAGGTCCAACTCTTGGTTTTGACTCTGGACATGATGCCACAGTTCATGAGATGGAGCCCTGGGTCAGCAAGAGTCGGACACTTAAACAAGTGAGCCACCCAGGCACCCCACAAAGAAAATGTTTTATATTTGTCATGGGCTATCCAAATAACATGAGGTTTTTTTTATCTGTAACTTACTTCCCTTTTATACTTTTACCATATAAAAATATTTTACACTCATTAAAATAGCTCACTGTGTGGGCTGTACTTCTGGATCTCAGGGACACAGCATGAGAGCTGAGGAGGGAAAAGCTGTGAATTTCAGGGGACAGTTTTCAAAAGTGGCATTTCTTGTTGGTCCCCCAAGCAGTGGTGACATAAAGCTCCTGAGATTAGTAAAAGCACTGACAGGAAAAGTATCTGCTACAGTGTTTGCTTGGAGGCACCATATTCTTTTAAAGAAAAAAATTTTTTTAATGTTTATTTTTGAGACAGAGGAAGACAGAGCACAAGTGGGGGTTGGGGCAGAGAGAGAGGGAGACACAGAATCTGAAACAGGCTCCAGGCTCTAAGCTGTCAGCACAGAGCCCGATGCGGGGCTTGAACCCACGAACCGTGAGATCATGACCTGACCCGAAGTCGGACGCTTAACCGACTGAGCCACCCAGGCGCCCCTGGAGGCACAATATTCTTACACTGCACCTACTACAAAAGAAATTATGAAATTCTGTCACTAACAATGCCTCCAACTAAGATACAGTGAAGAAAGACAAGCCTAAATATTAACCTGTTAAAAGATAAAACACATCACTTTTGGTCAACAGTAGGTTCATAAGATAGCATATGCAAAATGAGAGAAAATTCTTATTAGAACCTAATGGAAACTGGGAGCATTTATATAAATTATTCAATATAAAGTTGTTACAGGGGAGTTGCATGCTATTATTTGACATTCAGTCTGTGACTTGTGGAGACTTCCAATTCCTATTTTATACCAGTCATTTGCCAAGTTGTACTGTTTTAGCTAATGGTCTTTTTTTTTTTTTAAGTGTTTATTTAAATTCCAGTGAGTTAATATACAGTGTAATATTAGTTTCAGGTGTAGAATATAGTGATTCAACACTTCCATACATCACCGAGTGCTCATCACAACAAGTGTACCTCTTAATCCCCATCACCTATTTAACCTACCCTTCTGGGAACCATCAAGTTTGTTCTTTTTTTCCCCCTTTGCTCATTTGTTTTGTTTTCTAAATTCCACATATGAGTGAAATCATATGGTATTTGTCTTTCTCTGACTGACTTGTTTTGTTTAGAATTATACACTCTAGCTCCATCCATGTCTTTGCAAATGGCAAGATTCGTTCTTTTTTATGGATGAGTACTATTCCAGTGTGTGTGTGTGTGTGTGTGTGTGTGTGTGTGTGTGTGTGTGTGTATGCATATATATATACCACATCTTTATCCATTCATCAGTCAATGGACACTTAGGCTGCTTCTATAGTTTGGCAATTGTAGATAATGCTGCTATAAACAGTGGGGTGCATGTTACCCTTTGAATTAGTATTTTTGTATTCTTTGGGTAGATACCGAGTAGTGCAAATTGCTGGATCATCGGTTAGTTCTATTTTTAAATGTTTGAGGAACCCCCATACTGTTTTCTAGAATGCCTGAACCAGTCTGCACTCCCACCAACAATGCAAGAGGGTTCCCCTTTCTCTGCACCCCTGCCAACACCCGTTGTTTAGCTAAGTCTCGATTACAATTGCCTCTTTATGTGAAGACCA